AACAACAACAACAACAACCGGGTGTCAGCATAGCTTTCTGATTATCGCGACATAAGAGTAGGTTTGGGCGAGGATGCAAATCCCTATTGGCATTGAGGAGAGCGCAAAGGCAATTTTAGTGGTGTTTGTAAGGTTCGTGTTGCCGGAAGTGCAGACAATGAGCGGAAAAGATTTCCAGTTTGGATGAGGATGGAAGCGACAGGAAACTTAAATAGTGGAAGGTCAAAGGATGACGCAGCAGTGTAATGGCTCCTTGGACACGTGATTATGACCGGTTCATGAACAGCAAACAGGAGAAGATGGGAGGTGTGACGGGCCAGCGAAACCGTGACTCTGAAAGGGAAGGCATGACCACCAACGGGCCAGTGAGTTGGTTCCTGAATCTTGTTGGGGATGTGGAAGTGCCGACCCTGGTGGTGACAAAGACCACAGACGGAATGTACCTGCCTACTCAGCCCGGAGTTCGGGAACAAAGGCATGAGCATTGCACAGGGGTGTTCCACGATACCCGCGCGCCTTGAGATATCATGTCTTTGTGAATGCCTTGTGTCTACCCAACGCTGTCAAACATCTCCGGTGACAAACACCCTTTTATCTGGATTTTCCTACCCTCTTGACTCCAGCGGATCTCAAATCCCTGATCCCTTCTTTGACCGTGAATCCCAAGAAAACATTGCCAAAGATGAGTTGTACGGAGCAGACGCCTGGGTTGCGTCATCAAGCGTTGAGTCGACCGGTCACAGGTAAGATGACTTCATCGTGAGGGGCTGATAGCGACTCTGCTGGCAGGCTCTCATCTAGAACTCAACACGGACAGTCCTAGATCTCTCAATCTTGCAATAGTAAGAGTCGAAATACACTGTTTCCTCAACAACCACAACATCCATCCTCTTCAAGCTGGGCGGAAGCTTCGCCTGCACCAACTCGAGCACGCCCGGTCCGTCCCACGTGCGAGGGATGTTGATCTCCGGACAATCGTCTCTGAGTGTGTGCAAGAAAGTCTTTAGGTAAGACAGCCTCTTGAGCTCATGCAGGCACGAGAACATCTTGGGCGAGCCAAAGCGCCAAACGGCGTCAAAATTATCGTCCATGATCAGGTTGGTCCCTTCTATCACCAGGACCTCCAAGTTGTCTTTGAGCGACAGCAAAAGGTCGTTCCAGTCGATACCGCACCCTTCTGGATCATAGACTTCATCCCTCCAGACGTCCTCGTCGCACCCACGCATCAGTCGGAGCTCGCGCAGCCTGACGCTGCCGCGCAGCCACCGCCAAAGATTCGTGAGCTTAAGTGAACCATCGTTATGTGGATTTCCAAGTAGTGTTAGGCGCTCGATGCTGGAATGACACCACTCTTTGTCACCGTCTCTGTGAACAACAAGGCCTTTTTCATTATGAAATGCTTCCCAATCGAGGGTGAGCGATGTCACAGAGGAGAAGGGATCCGGAAGGATTGAAAGGTGTATTCGGTCAAGGTCATTGTGGGATCCGCCGCGGCAGAAACTCCCTCCGTAAGAAAGTTGAATGTCTCTGAGCAATGGACATAGCTGGACGATTCCCCTCAGGACGTAGTCCCCCAAGGCGTCGTGGGAGAGCTGCGGAAGCCTTTCAACAACAGATATCCATGTCGATTGGTAGTCATGTGAAAAACATCCGTCTCCTAACCACACCTGAAGTGCTGTCATCACCCCACGGAAAAAGCCACCATCCTGTAGCTCATCAAATATGGGAGTGAACACGGATCCACCTAGAATGTTTATGAATACGTCCAAAGCGTCTGCGCCTACAGGGCCACAGAGTCTGGTGTCCTCCAAGAAGTCCTTGCGAAACACTGCAAAACATCGGACCAAGCTCCTATTGTGTGGGTAGAAGAGCAAGCTCCGGAGTAAGGTCATGATTCCAATGGATCCTTGGACCACGGTGGTGTTAAACAAGGCGCGCTGGGATGGCCCCGTAAGTGCCTTGGAAGCAAGTGATAATGCCCGAAGATCCGCATAAGCTGATGAGTATATGTGAGGATAGACCGATACAGGTCGCCTTTGCGGCCCCACATACCGCTCCTCGGGGGGTCGAAGCAGTTTATGAGATAGTCGCGTGAGTCATAAGGGACTTGTCCGACGAGCTCGCAGATGTGCTCTCGTATTTCGAGTGACAATTGCTCCATAGGCGCCATCTGAGCGGGACTCGGAAATCAGTTTGCCTGTCAGCATCAATGGACAGAAGGATGTATGCGTCGGCTGGAAACCCATAAGCTCATGCCGCCAGGTGCCTTACCGAGATCCGAGTTATCAAGGAGGTATAAGTGTTGTAGAATGGTTGGCACTGTCGTAAAGTCTGGACTGAGAATAGGGTAATGAAGTGAGGGCTTGGATGTACGACGTTTAAAAAACTCTTCTCTCACTCCAGGAACGACGATTAACCAATCCACGACGGGCAATAAGCGCGCTAGTGCTGCTGACGTTCCTCTTGACTAGGTAGTAGGCACAACCACCTAGTCCTCATTCGGTTTCCGGGAAAGCGTGAGGTTGCATTGCGTTGAGTCAAATTGAAAAATAGCACAAAGTCGATTGGATTGACAGTTGTTGTGTCGGGTCATCAATGATGATGAAGAAGCGATGTTGGTGCTAGTCAAGAGGGGGACGAGAAAGTATCGCGGCCGACATCTGCAAGATACTGGGTTCATCTCTTTGTGTCACAACCCAAAGAAATTAAGGCTGAAGCGAAGCGAGAGAAAGAATTGCGTTGGGTGGTGCAGTGCGCGACAAATAAGAAAGAAAAGTAAGAAAAGGGAAAGGGGAAAAGAGGAAAGGAAAAAAGAATTGGGGTCGTGCAGGGTGGAATAGGCTCCGGGCTGGTTCGTGCACGACTTCCCATACAATTGTTGCGATGCTATGCCCCTAATAGCTGCAGGGCCAGTTAACGAGGGAATGCAATATCAGTACATCTCAGCCTGTTAACGCAATCTCCAACCTGCAAAGATCAATCCACCGTCTGCCCTCATGTTGAACCAGAAGATGGCCGGTCAACTGGGCCATGATATCCGAGGGCAGGGATTTGTATACTTCCTGAGGAGAGCATAGAGAATATTGATGTTACAGCACAGATGCTAACGTAGACGACATTGCCCCTGGATTTCACTTTGACCATCCATTACGGCGAAGCCATATCAACCGTGATACCCCGCGTCGCGCTTCCGAGTTTATGTCGGTCGCCAGGCTTTTTTTTTTTCTGTTGTTATTTTTAACGTCTACTTCCGCCTCCCGTAGGGCATGAGACGTGCCGCACCGGTGAGTCTAGCATACAAAATTAAGAGCAATGCCCTAACTGTCCACCAAAACCATTGATCCGAGGGCAAACCGAGGCCTATTGCCAGTGTAAATCATGTGTTGCCCATAGCGTAAACGCGGCCCAACACTTGTAATCGAATCGCCCAGTGGGCGAGCCGCCAGTATATGACGGAACCTGTAGCACAAGGAAAAAATAAAGAATGACAAAATCACTCCTCTCCGCTCTCGTTCTCGCTCTCCTCCTCCCGCAAGGCCTCCTCCCGTCTCCTTGCACGGTGAACGAGCCTGTCCAAGTCCACCGTAACCCTCTCAATATCGTGGCCATGGCCAACCTCCACCCCTCTACTCCGTAGAAACCCCGTAAGGTTGTCAGCGGCGCCACCGCCGTCAGTGTGCTGTTGCCAGAGGGTCTGGCGCCATGCCTATCTCGTGCAAGTCCACGAAAAGAAGTGCGAGGTCTGGATCCTAGCGATGAAGCGCTCCCAGTAAATTCCAATAGCAAGGGAGAGATTCTCCCGCGTAGCCGCTTCGCCCGTGACGGGAGAAACTGCGTATGCCTTCCTGCAGAAAAAGGGATGGAAGGGATTCTTCCAGCTTCCACAGAAGCATTTTAGCAGGGCGTCCTCGTGCTCGAAGCGCTCGTGGTAGTCCTTGAAATCTCCGTGGCCAGACCTAGCCGGCCTTCAACTATCTGTGCAGGAAGCAAGGCCTGGAGATCTACCACACAACGGCAGCGGAATTGAGGAAGAGATTCGCCGAGGGGAAGCCGGGGCGGAGGAGGATGCCCAGGCTAAAGAGGAACAAGACGGCGACCTAGATCCTGAGGGTGTAAAGCTGACGGAGGACATGGCCAGGAAAATTCTGTCGGGCGAGGGCCTCAAGCACAAGCGCCGGCTGCACAAGAGACTCCACGGGTTCATCAACGCCCTGGCGGGTATCGGAACCAAGGAGACCCTCAGCGCAGCCAAGCTATCGCTAACGGTCCGATTAACCAGGACAGATGAGGATATCACTGTCTGCGAGAAGGTGATGCTGGCCGAACTAGTAGAGTTGGGTCGGATTTCCGAGGAAGACGTTACCAAGTTCCATGAGAAAGCCGACCGCTCACCCAAGACTGTCGAACAAATCTGCAAGTCGTGTATTCCATGCGCGAGAACCAAGCCGTCACGTCGACTTCGTCAAGGTCTGCTTAAGCCCCTGTCCGTACCACACGCGCCATGGCGGGACATCTCGATTGACTACGTCACCCCGCTGCCCAAATGCCTACACCTGGGTCAGGAGTTCAAGCACGTCGCCGTCGTTGTCGATAGACTGACTAAAATGCGCCACTTCATCCCCACTGTCACAATGGAACCCGAGGAGTTGGCAGACCGCTTCATCGAGCGCGTGTTCTCCCTCCACGGCCTGCCCGACACGGTTCTTTCCGACCGTGGCTCCCAGTTCATATCACGGCTTTGGTCGACTCTCTGCCAACGACTGGGTATCGTTAGACGACTGACGTCTGCCTTCCACCCGCAGTCGAATGCGCAGACGGAGCGTATCAACGTAAGAATGGAAAAATTCCTGCGACTCTTCATCAACTGGGCACAGATTAATTGGGCTCGCTGGCTGCCAATTGCCGAATTCGCCGGCAATAACATGAAGTCAGAAACTACCGGCCAGACACCTTTCTTCGCGAACTACGCTTTCCACCCTCGCATGGGCATCGAACCCGCTACGCCGTGCCAGCCAAACCTGTCCCCCCAACAGCAACAGGAATATTTCAAAGGCACCGAGCTGGCGACACGTTTCAAGGCCGTGTGGGACTCAGTTGTTATGATGTCTCGACAAACACAAGACCGCTACAAGAACAACGCGAACATGAAGCGACAGGACGCGCCGAGATACAAGGTGGGTTACCGGGTCATGCTCGACACAACCAACCTCGTTGATGGCCGACCTCACAAGAAGTACTCCGCGGGCTCTGAAGGGCCCTTCGACATACTCTGGGCCGACACTCACAACGTCAAGCTGAAGCTGAGGACCCCAGTTCGTCTTCTTATCAAGGTGCCCCGCGGTTTACCTTGCACCAGTCCAGCCCTCTATATCCTTCGTTGCGCTCCACGATTATTCGGAAGAACCGCACGAATGAATAGCACGATCGCTGAAGCCAACCGAGCACATCTCTCCTATATACTTCAACAGCCTCTCATCAGCCACCACTGCCACGCGCAGCGCGCTAGATACGACCTCTACGACCCGTGAGGCAGCATCTTCTTGCACCCCTACCTACCTATCTCCGCCACCGCTGACCACTTGACCTCTCAGATCCTCACTCCATTCTCAGCCACCTCGCAGACTCACCTCAAACCCTTCAACCCTTCAACCCTTACAACGCTCGCCGCCATCGCACCCCTCACAACCAGACCCCCAGGCCAACCGCCAGCATCAAAGATGTCCAACTCCAACTCCAACCCCAACCGCATCATCCCCCACAGCCGAATCCTTGCACATCCCAAACGAGTACTACCCCAACCCTCGCACGCCGACGGGCCCGCTCCTCTACGTCTACGGCCACCTCAACGCCATCGGCACCTTGCAACTGCGCAAGCCCGGCGACAAGGACAAGAAACATTTCTTGCCGGAGGAAGTGCGCAAGGAGTGTGTGGAGGTAGCTTTTCCGTGCCTGAAGTGTCGCAACTCGCGGGAGTTTGGGTGTGGAATGGGAGCACTAGGAAGTATGTTCCGAGCATCAACTTCCAGTTAGCCGTCTACGACAATAGCAGGAGGGTTCCTGGTGCCGGTGGTAGGCCGGTTGCTGTCGCTATACCCATGGCTCCCATCGCTAGGGCTCCGGACGGCATGTCTCTGTCTTGGTACCGGCCGAATCAACGTGACCTGTTGCTGCAGGAAAGGGAGAGGCAGCTTCGAAGACAGACGGTGGAGCTTGCGAGAGAGAAGGAGGAGCTGGAAAAGCAGATGCAAGCGGAGAGACTAAGAGATCGCGAGTAGAGGAACTGAGGAAGGTGCCCTCTTACCTCTACCGTATCGAACATCGATGACTGTTTGGGGAAGAGATCTTCTGCTTCAGCACTCACACAGAAACTAAAGAGGCGTACAAATGTCTCCATAAAGTCAGTTTGAGGAAGGAAAGGTCCCAACGTTGGTTCTACGACAAACAGCGCTGGGAAAACTTTGAACGGGGACAAGAATTAGAGCGAGGAAGGAAAAAGGGAGAGGAGGGAGAGGTAAGACTGGTTCAAAGAGATTGAAAGAAGGCGGCGGAAAAGGGTTGGAATTGACATAGGGAAGCAAACGAGCCAATATTCGAAGCTAGAGAATTAAGCGTTGACGAGATGGACTTCCAAGCCGGGTACATCACACGCTCAGGAAGTTGGCCTATAACGTATTTGCTGGAATCCGACTTTGGCAGCACCGCAATGATGACTAGATTGGGAAATAATTCTCGAAAAACCTCAACCGATCAGGTCAGCACTCACTGGTCCCAAAGTCTCACTCGAGGTCCATTCGACGACCGTCTTCTGCAGCCCAGGTTCGAGGCTAGCTGCAAGCAGCACTCACCGCCCACCAAGCCAACAAGGAACGGATCTCAACCTATCATCCCAATCCCTTCCATCGCTCATCTGATCCAGTGACGGTAGCTCATCGAGATAACTGATCAGACACATGATCACGCCTTTGCTTACTAGGCGCTAACACTTGCCATGTTTATCTTCCACCTTTTAGTCATCTATGACAGCAAAACGACAAGGCATACGAGGTCTGATTTGTCTGTATTACGAGTGTCAGTATTGCTTGGAAACCAAGCGAAACCGGAGTGTCAGAACCGGAGCCTCATACCCATCCACCCGCTGTGTAAGCGCCTGAACTCCGACACAACATGTGGCCCTGTAGGGTAGGATGACCATTGCCGCCCCGGTGTTAGGCGGCCGCAATCGGAGACCAGGCGCCGCATGGCCACATAACCGCCGGCGTACCAACTATTGTGCCGTACTTGCACAGCTGGGTAGATCCTTGTGGTACGCGGGAGTGAGACGAGTCACGAATGACGGGATGTAGGGTACTTAGTCGAAACTTTCCCTAGGGGCTGGATCTGGTTGAATGGGCTGTAGAAGGTTACATGAGCGGAACGGAAGTCGGCGCGGTTTTGTTAAATGTGCGTTGGGTTAGAAGGCTGGGAGAGGATGGTGGCTGGTCTGCTAGATCATTGGCTACCAAACAAACAATTGCGAAGCTCGCCCGTTATTCGGGTTTCGACCAAACAGAGTATAGATGCGCATTGCCCTAAGGATTGTGTTGTGAGCGAGCTGGGCCCCGTGATCACGATGGAGTAGGCTGGTCCGGCACTGTCAGAGCCGGCTCCCGTGTGGTCATGGCTCGGTACTCGGGTTCGTGGAATATGAGATACTTCTGATATTGTGGGTCTTGTGCTGGCCAGGATATCTGTTATGACGAGAAGGCATGTGATATCATTGAGGAATTGCCTATAATAGATAGGGCTTTTTTTGTTCTGTGGAAAACGAGGCTCACCGCTTCGACGGTCGCTGAAAACACCGGAAAGAACTACACATTAGCCAATGGTGAGCAGTACCTCGTATCGTAAATCTTGGATAAAGCCACCCGGTGCCATTCATGTGAGAGATACTCAGGACAAGATCATGATTGACGTGCCAGAACCGGCGGTCGGAGGGTAGCCAAGCTGTGTCGTAGTGACGAAACGCAATCTGAGCCGCATCGGTGGACTGAATGAGCATAGTCATCGCTGACATAGCAAATGGGTGTCGTACAGTTTGGCTGGGATGGGATACGTATGCGGCTCTGCCAGATCATCATTGTAGCATTTGTGGCCCCTGGAGATCTGGGTAGCTCATGGTGCAGGAAGGCCAGGACGAGACATCTCGTGTTGGTTCACTTGGTTGGCTTCGACAATTCCCCTTCTCTGCTGCCTAGTTGTCAGAGAAGATCTCCAAGCCGATGTCGTGTTGGAAACATCATGGTATACGCAATCCCTGGCTGCGCAGCCTCAGTGCGTCGTGTATATTGGCGGGAGGCAAATTTGAGGCTCAAATTGCCCCCAGCTGAACTCAGCCGGACACGGGACTTGAGACGGCACCAAGTTGTCGGTCAGGGTACGTACCGACTTGGGTTTTCCGTTGAAAATTCCCCCCATATCGTATCCCATCCAGTCATGACTTGTCTTCTCGATGAAGTTATATCAGAACTTTCCCAGTCATGTATAAGCTCCACGATTTGCTGTCGTTGTTGGAGAGAACAGTTCCATATGGTGATTCCTACTAAACACACCGTGCTACAGCGCTGTTACCCCTGGCAATGTTGGCTTTTCGGTTGGGTACCAGGTGGTTTGATGTGACGAATGAGAACCCGCCAATCGAACTGGGAGCACCGAATTGGGAAGGACGATATCGTCAATTGCCAGTGGGTCATTTAACCCCATTAACATCATGTTCCAACGACATCGCCGCTCCGGTACAGCGGGATGTAGCTCTGAGGCGAGGTCAAAACTGAAAGCGGTGTCCCTAACATATGTCAGAACTGATCTGCTCCAGCTATATCCATTTTTAGCCCCAGGGATGCGACGAATCGTATCGCGAATTTGGTGGAGGCTGAGTGATTGACTCCGGTTCAGTAGATTGGCTGAAAGGAAAGCCATGGTTCCCTGACAGATGAGCTGTGGAAACCAGTAGTGAAACGCACTCCTGACAATCTGTCTAGAAGTCGGGAGATGAATGGTGGTCGAGTCGGGATGCTTGTACACGTACGTGGACATTCGCAGAAAAGAAAGTTTGGCGATTGACGAAGAAACATGGGATGAACAGGATCCGGGGTAACGAGTTGGAGATGACAGAGAAGAGCCCTGTAAGTTAGTGGACACCCTCTGTCATAGAACAACTACCGAATGGTCAGCAGGCACCGACCGACGATGTTCCGCCATTGAACAAGAGTTTTCAAAGTCAGCAATATGTGGGACGTCGAAATGACTGAATCCTGGTCAAACCGGAATTAATGTTGAGCATCGGCTTTTGGAAGACAAAGTAGCGGAACATGGTCGCATTGATAGAGAGGAATGTGTGGTGGCATCACAAACTTTGACTTGCAGAAAACAACATGTCCAACATCCAATCGCACAAAAAAAAAGATTTTGAGCAAGGGGTCAGGAACTGGTGTTGACAAGGGGGTGTCTCATAGGGCTGAAGGACGGTGAAGATGGTGTCGAGATGTTGCCAATTTTTCGGACCGTCGGAACCACGAAAGGGAAGGAAGATGGAAACACGTTAGGGGGTCAAGATCAAGATCGCCGCTTGCAATCTCCCACACACAATTGTGTCAGCAGAGGAGACACCACTGACGCCCCAAGAACTCGCATTTGGAAATGTAAAATCAGGATTCATAGGAGCAACCTGTCTGCAGGGTAAGCGACAGAGACAAGAGCCATATGTCAGCATTTGATACATGTTTCCGTTGCTGTTGGCTCAAGTGCCGCGGGGTCTTGGTGTGGTGAACGGTCATTTGTGAAGAAAGGAAGTGTGACTAAGCAGCAGTTCATGTGGGGTAATTGGAGGTAAGATTTGGGGCGAGGAGAAATGGATTCGGAGACAAGGCAGACCATGTTGGACAGTCCGAGAAGAAGACCGAAGGTCACGATATCAAATTGGTGTTTGCGGTGAGGGAGTTGTCAGGGAGAAGATTCCTTTGATGTAACGGAGTAAGATGGGGTTGGGAAATGATCTTCAGATGTGGAAAATCTGAGACCGAATGCCCCTGGCCAGCTGTTTGAGATAGAAGGAGCGCCTGGGAGGGAGGGCTGCAGGTGGAATGGCGCAATACGGGGCACCTTGCTTTGGCCGTTGAGGAGGCGCTTTTAACCCGCTAAAAAGCACAGCACTAACACCACGCACATCGACATGACGAGCTACCACCAGCTACCAACAAAACAACACAGCAAACCAACATTGCCCATCCGTCTCCCACTCGTTCTCATTGTTTACGATATTGCCTGACCGCTTGTTTAGATGTTAAAACGTGCTCCGTTGTGGCAACTTTTGTTTCCAGATTTGTGGCTGTCATATGTGGTTCAGCTGCCAAGTCAAAGGCCTCCAACGGATCTATGGACAAGGTACTTCCGGCCAGAAAGGGAATCTGCACCACGAACAGGCGAAGACACGGTACCTGAAAACAATAATTGCGGGACGAAGATACCTACACATTGCTTAGTCCCCCATTGATAAAACACAAATTTTACGATCAGGTATGACATCAAATTGATGAATGCCTTCCATCAGCCTCATCAACTCAGCTGAAAGCTGGTTCATACGGTCATGATAGTTGTCGGGATGTCTCATCTTCTCTTTAATAGCCAGATTGTTAGCAGCAAGAGTCACAAACCCCGGCAGGGCAGCCTTTACTGTTGTTACCGTCTCACTCTCATCCGATCCTTTCTCTCTTCTAACCCAGACAGAGTCATCAACCTGAGGCTCTCGGTCATTAACCAGCTTAGCACCTGCCACCTCACGAGAAATAATACGAGGATCACAACCTGGAAGTGTCCGGGTGTGGTGGGGGAACCTGGAAAGAACCCCTCTTTTCATTTTTCACTCGGACCCCACCAAAGGTCGGACTCTTCCCACTTCTGCCTGTCCAGTCGCTTCGTTTCCATCCTTCATCCTTTCCATGTCGCATCTCAGTTGCTCAACACCAATCCAAGATCCCCGACCCGTCAAGCTTTGTAGATCCAAAGTCCCTTCGTCCGCTTCCCCCCTTTCAATTGGGTCTTTCAACTTCCAATCCCTTGTTGCAATCGCAAAAATCCTCTTGCGAGCCTTGTTAGACGCGACCACCCGAGCTGAACCCAAGAGACGGTCGTTAATGAATACGACGACCTCAATTTTCCAACCAAAGCCGCTCTCCCATCAGCCGCCACGCGCGTCTTCATGGTGATACTTCGCATGATGTACGAACGATGACCCAATACCTCCTCGTGTTACGTCGTCGACAGGTGTGAAAAAGGGTTCCATTCCAATACTACGACGGTGGGAAAGGCTTGCATGACAGACAGCCATGGCGCACTGAACTAGTAGCGCCCTTTTCAGGGACCCCGACCCAACCACCTCTCCCAGAACTTCCGAGCCGTTTCACGTACCGCAGAGACCCAACAAGGTACCACAGGGCTGCATGACCAAAACCAGTCAAGGTATCGTCACTGGCTGCCGTGTTCGAGTTTCCCGTCTTACTCCAGCCACTGTATGCTAATATCGGCTGGCGTTTAGGGCCTTGTCTCTACCAAGGAATCGGTACATCACTGCGGCCGCCGACCCAGTGACCTAACCGCTTCGGAGCCGGCAAGGTGAATCGGCCCATGTACCCAGCAGTCGATGATGAGGTCTCACGGGTCGCGACAAGGCGACCAACACCTCTCAAGGCAACAACGCCAATGATCTGGGAACACTGGCTGGTTTGGACGTGATACTGCAGACAGACGTCTGTGGCGGCCCATAGGGCTACCAGGACAGGGGCCAGGTACACTGGACACAGCGATCTTCAGACGCTGTACTGTTACTGCAGCTGAACCGGTGTCGGTGGGTTCCATCAACACCAAATTGGCGTCACCGAATCACCGGAGCGACCAACCAGCACACTGTCACCGTGCCATCAAAACCTCCCTCGGCGACCTACTGAAACCCCCGCATTCTTCTGATATCCCTTATGGAAGTTATCACCTCCTTTAAACCATGCGACCGGCGTCATCAAACACATCTGTCTTCAGGGTCACTTAGTTTTCTAGTCAAGCGAACCACAGAGTGATCAGAGCACTTTCATGGACCCTTCGCCGTTCATCTCAGAACCCCTCGACGTCGTCAAACCCTCTCGACGTCGACAAACCCTTGCTGGCATCGGCATAGAGTAGCTTCCAATGTTACCTGGACTCGTTAGGGCTGAAACTCCACATGCTCGGTGACCTTGAAAGGTCTAATCCAATGAGGTGCCCTTGCATGGATTGCCCACATGAAGCTCGGGTGGTTGACCTCTGCCAAGCTGCATTTGTCTCTTAAGCAAGGGACAAAGCGCTGATAGGGCTGGGAGTATTTGCCGCCTATCACAGAAGTATGCCTGCTTGCGAACCACGGATTTGCAAAAGCCGGCTAGTCGACATGCCGCTGCCCGTCTGTTCGCCAAACCCTTCGTCAAAAGCACATGGTAACCGTTTCTTCACCTTAACCACCGGCCAGCCTAATTCCCGGGACACGGTCGAAATCGGAGGTCCGAGTTGGGTCGCCCGTTGCCACGACCCTTGTCCCATCCAACAAAGTATGAGGAAGCTGACAGTCCTTCGAGGCCTAATTAACCCATATTCGTTAGTGTGATACAGCCCCTGCTGAGATGACATGCCCCTCGCTTCCAATCCATGTTTTCTCTTCAAACATTTCTCTTTCTCCGGACAGTTTCCCTTTGCCGTTACACCTCTACGCGTTTGCCATGGCATTCCTCCCAGATGTATACTTGCATGGGGTTCCCTGCCCGTATGCAAAAAGAGGGCTGAGAAAAGCACGACGCCGAACCATATAAGACGCCATGATGGCCCTTCAACTCGAACGTACAAGTCCTCATCTTCGGTGTTCTGTCCGGTTCCTGTCTTGCCAACCTACAGCCAGGATCCTATACGGGTACCAGATACGAGTGGGCTCCCATCCCGTCCTATAGGCCCACGTCATTGCCCCTGTCATTCTACTCGGATTCCTTTACCTCGTCACTACCAGGACATACGGTCTCAGTCCGAATATACCAGTGTGTCGGTTTTGGTGTCTAGGTCTGGAGGTTGGCAGTCTCGCCTTGCACAAAGTACCAAAGGTAGGTGGTCATCAAAACGGGCCCCTTCGGTCAAGTAAAACTGGGATGTTAACCGATGTATCCAGGCTAAGTGGACGTCTTACATGTCTCTGGCACGTCCACGGTAGCGACAGCTGGCCAACCACCGAGTCCGAATCTTACAGTGGGCATAATTGTGTGCTGCGCTTACGTCGGGTAATCCTTCGAAGTGTCTGTCAGAAACAGGCACTGTAGGTATGCCCACCATCAATATCCCCGCCGGCAGTAGCACGCAGTTGGAGCTACGTCCTGCACATCACTATCACCTGCGATCCTTTGCTGTCCATGCATACTTGGGCATTGCTGTCACTCTGGTTATCGTCACCATTTGGCGCTTCAAACCCCGACGGAGATCATCAACAATCAGTTCGGCGAATTACAGGAGCCAGTCGGACGTCAAGGACATCAAGGGATCATTTGGCCCTGCAAAGCCTGTTAGGTCAGAAATCGCAGAAGTATCAAAGCCAGAGTGTGGTCTATACCAAGTGCTTGCCACGCCGCCCTCGGTCAGCTATCCGCCACACTCACTTTCAAGTACATGCACCAAAGGCCCGGGAACGTTTGGAGATCAACAGGCGATGGATGGCCATGACAAAGGTCGACTCAGCGATTCAAGTGATCCCGAATCAGCTTCATCACGTGCTGTCAGCAAGAAGCCCAAGTCCGCCTCGACTTCGAGACATGAGGCATATCTCTGGCCGCAAGCGAATTACTCCGCCTCGATGACATGGAGCTCAACCCCAGATCAGCTTCGGAAACATACACCTTCCCCTAAGACGCCGGCTAGTATCGATGGGACCGCCAACCCAAGTTCAAGAAAGGGGGAAAAGGGATGGGGTAAAGGACGGCTGCATGCACCACATCAGATGGATGGGATTGGTGCATCATCCATGGGGTCATTGAGCTATGACGACCTTCAGACGCAGGATAATCGGTCGCGTGTTCTCTCCCTTGGGGAGCCCAGACTGCACTTTACAAGGCCACCACCTCCACCACCTCCACCACCTCTGACACCGCCATCTCTCGACAAGACGGCGTTCGCCTTACAAGATCGCGGGCCCGCACCTTCTGCGTCAATATCAGCAGGGTCGAGTATAAGCTTCACTCATCAGCCTAATCCCGACTATATCGGTCACACCTCGTCGGCTGATATCCTCAGCTCGAGTCCTGCCGAGGTGACGGCGGTACCGCGGCGAAGATCATACACGAAGAGCGTGCCTATTCGCATACCTACGCCCAGCGGCAACTCGTCTTCATCAAGTGGAATTACCTTCACGCCGCCGTCAGCAGTTTCTTCATCTAGCTGTGCCCCATCATCGCCAGTGCTCCCGCCACCTCCGCCGGTTCCCCAAGGTTACCAGTTTGTTGGAGGACATATGGGACATCGCCCGTCCGTCGCCGATCAACATCACGCGGAAATCAAAGTCTATGCTGAAATTATATCCGTCACGGATGCTGAGGGTGATGGTTGGCGACGACACACCCAAGTGTATGGTGGTGGTGTCTGCCTCGCATGTCTTGCCAATGGAGGCGGGACTTATGGCCCTAATGTGCCTCTCGAGGATCGACGGTATTAGCCTTGTTCAAGGCTCACCGGCGAGCCTATCCCAATGAGGTCGCTTTTAGGTTGGAGGGTAACCAGAGCCTCAGCTGCCATGCACGACAGGTATCCAAGCACAAGACCACACGCCAATATCCAGCGCTCAGTGGGGCAAATCGCTTCCGGATCTCTCCTGCACTTCCCATAGGCTGGGCGAGGTATGGATTGCATACCGGCGGTTAACGACGCTGTTTAGAAACATCCGCATCATTGGTTCTTTCGTTTTCTGCATTACTATCTTGGTGGAGTAGGTCGGCCGGCGATTCGCAGCGCCGGCGTGGGAGTGGTTTCGTTGTTTGTATTAAAGAGGGGCTTAAATGGAGTGGCTAATGATGTTATGACCTCTTTCTTTACCATAACCCTTATCTTCTCTTTGTTTCGAGTCTGTATTGATTTTCCGTTCTAGCTTTCTGTCGTTACTGTTGGCGTCATTATACCCTTCATGCTGTCATTATTCGCATTCCATGATCAGATCTCAACATTTTACCCATTAAACCTTGCTCATCGCGAAAGGACTTATATCTTCCCAAGGGACATCTTCAGTCGTACCGCGTGTTTGTCACATATTTGGTTGTCAATCGCCGATAACGCCTTGGTTTTTCCAGCCCTGCATGCACCCCATTTTCTCCTCGATATCAGTCTCGGATATTACTCCTCATTGCACTATTTAGCTTCACACCTTATGTCCTATCCGAGGTCTCATCCCAAAAGAGGCAGGTACACAACTGAGACAGGAAAGTAATGGAAGGCAGGGCATTCTCCGTGAGCGAGTACAATGTAACCCTGTTGACATGTCAATCAGTTACAGCGCCACGTGGGGTAGGTAAGCCCAGATATTGAACTAGTCAGCCTTATGGAATGTGTATCCATCTTTCCTGGGGTATTTTTGCGCTCATATGATGGGACCCTGCCTGTCACCATTTGGTATTAAAGATCAGAGGCAAGGAGGATGCCAGGTGTTGGATGTTGGGTTCGGGATGGATCACGGATTTGACGCAACGTCAGAACACCTTCTTCTGCCCTTCCCCGCTTTCTATGCCTTGCCATACAGCTATCGGAATGACAAGCGCACTGATAGTTCCTCGGCCGTCTACCCTACCTACCACTGCTACCAACCTCCGAAGGATGTCGGCCTCGAGACCTCGACTGACCCTTGTGACATGGATGTCTTACCCTTCCCCGCATCACTTATCTTTCCAGAAGCTATGCAGATTATGCGGCTTACGGCACACCTTGCGGGAAGTTGAAAGCTTGCGAGACTTGTCAGCCCTATGGATAAAATGAGGCATTCTGGAATTTGGGAGGATCCCGCCAATCTGCAGGAGAGGGGATGACGCAATTGTAAAGGATCACGCTAAGGTACCGAGAAGTGAGAAACTGGAGGAGTATTGAGGATTTCACTCTTCGGCCTAATCATCACGTTCGTCACTTCTCACTTGTAGATACAAGTGCGACTCCAGTGATTGAGACGTCCGTGTGCTCGGATTGAAAAGTCGAACGAGAATGACACTAGGTTGACTTTGTAATGCCCGACGGAAAGTAATTGTAGAAGTGGCACTTTCCTGTTGCTGACCCAACCTAACTCACAAGCTTAAAAGTTCCGACTTCCAGTAAAATGTTCCTTAAGTGGCTCACATGGATTACCAACATAGATCACGCTCATCAGACATGATTTATGCCCACGAAATACAAAAAAGAAAAAACACTGCTCGTTTCAGCGCTTTGGAGATAGTGCACTAACGTCAGAACTGCAGGCGAGTGTTTGAGATGGGACAAACCATTGGAGAGGGATGAAAATGGAACAGTCAAAAAGAAGGGGACAAGATAGGTACCTCTAAGCATAGCGTGCGTTACTATGAAATTTGATGGTTGCCTACGATTGAACTTGAGTAACGTAACTTCTGTAGCCATCACAAGGGGGTCTGTCAAGGCGAATAACATACCGCCTGGCTTGACGACGATGAGAACCACCAAGCAACTGTCGTTAGTGACAACACGCTGCAATACGAAACAATTGTGTACATAGATATAAGAACAACCGGATGCGCCTTTTCTTTTTCGCTATTGGTGCCTACAACCGTTTCTCATCCATAACCGTTGTGGTATCTCCCTTGGTCTATCTCACTACTGGTATGCTTTCCCCCTTTCCTCTCTTCCTCTGTTTTTCGACGCCCGATCCAAGTCCGAGGCCCGGGGCCTCCTCCTTCTCCTCACGCCCCTTCCATTTTGAGCATCATGGTAACACCCACCAATCCAGTTCTCAGCAAAACGTAGAGCAATGTGAACCAAAAGCAAGATCCAACCAGCCACCCAGTCACTCAGCCGACCAAGCTCTAACGGACTGACTACCTCTATGGATAAACTAAGCTAAAATCAGTGGATCAAAGAAGCAAGAAAGTGATGAACCCTCGCCCAAACAAGGGAACCTAAGGCAGCACCCTCCCCAAGTCTCTAATCCCTAAACCAACTCTTAATAGGAGGCAACCTAGGCAAAACTTGTCCATCCTCCAATTCTTCCTCCTCCATCACTCGGGGAAGCATCTCCGCGTATCCGCTTTCGCCTGCTACCCATCTTTTCTGTTGCATTCCGATTCCATACCCGCCTCCTCCATAGCGGGTTGCATAACCGGGTGCATCAAGACCATTGCTGCCTCCATGGCCTCCGTTCCATCCCAGGATTCCATAACCGGGACCTCCGTTCCACATCAAACCGGCAGAGCCACCCGCAACGTCATGCATCGACAGCAGCGTGCATCCCGGTCCTTTTGACACAGAGCTGTGGCCATACTCATCACGACCCCCCTGCCATCCCTGCCACCCAGCCATATTCATCGCGTCCACGTCCTAAACAGCCGCGATTTCTTGGATTCGTTCGGTCCTCTCTGTCCTTCCTTCATTGGCACCATTTCCATCCACCTGGCCAGCACCAGCACCAGCACCAGCACCAGCACCAGCACCAGCAGGTCTACTCCCCCTCCTCGGCAATTCTCCGTCACCGTTTCCACCTCTCAGCGCAGGTAACACGTTCTCCCGCCGTCCGTTACTCCCGCCACCTCCTCCTGGATGGTCGGCATTGCCACCACCACCACCACCACCACCAGCCGGCAAGTCAGTAACGCTCTCATCCTCTTGCTCCATCAACTTGATCATCTCCTCGAGGTTCTCCTCCAGGTTCTCTTGCTCGTCGGGAGGTAAGCATGACATGAGCAAATGTTTGTACTTGTCGATGCGCTCGCCTGTGCCTAGCATGCCGCGGGCTTCGACGTAGTCGTTTTCTGCGGAGCGCTGTTCCTGGAGGATGGAGCGCAGTTCGGCGGCGAGGGAGAGGCGGGTGGTGTAATCGTCTTCTGATTCGTCGTCTTGGTCCTGGTCTGGGACTTCGGTGTCTTGGGAGGATGGGCCTGGTTGTTGTGTTGCAGCTGGTTCGGGGTGTTCGGCTTCTGACTCGGTTTCGTTTTCGTCTTTGGGCGGTTTGTTGTCTGCTGGGGAAGGGGAGAGTTTGGGTTTCTTGTTAGGGCTGGATTTGGAATTTGTAGAGGTGCCGTTCGTAACAGAACCGTTCAGTGCGGCCAGCTCCTGCTTCACGGCCTCCTGCACGGATATGCGGTTCTGGTGCGTCACGAACGCCAACACCTTATGTCGCGCCGTGGCCATCTCCGCGGCCGTCTTGGCGGCTACGTCGTCCGACTCGAGGCGGGAGTTGTAGTCGTCGATGGAGGCGGTGAGGGCTTTGAGCTCTGACTGGGTCTTGTTGAGGATGCGTCGGGCTTCCTTCTCGGCTTCGTCCTTTTCCTTGAACTCGGAATCGTACGAGGCCGTCAGGTCCTTGAGCTTCTGGAGGATCAACGGGGTGCAATTTTGCACGGTAGTGGCTGCCTCGCTGCTGTAGGTCTGCTGCGAGCTCTTCCGGCTCATGGCCATGGGCTCGGAGATGGCGTCGTGGAAGGCATCGTGGCGTTGGGTATCGGGGGCAAAGGGGCTGGAGGATCGTGGTGGGAGGTTGGAGCGTGATTTGCTGACAGAGGCATTGAGCTCCTTTATCAGCTCCTCGGCGCGAATGCCTTGCTTGTTGGGAATGTCGGTGCTGGCGCCCCGGCCGAGGAGAGCCCGAATGCACTTTCGGGCATCGCGCATGGCGGCCAGGTGGACGGCCGTGTTACCCTCGTTGTCCTGGGCATCGAGAAGCTGTTGTGCAAACTCGGGGTGGTGTGTCTCCTGTAGCCTATTGAGAATGATGTCGAGGTAGTACCGCGAGCAGGACTGGCTGTTGACCCGGCCACTCTTCATCACAGCAGCGTGATGTATGACGGTGCATCCTGTCAAGTCCCGGCAATCGATGGTAGAAAACAGCTCCTTCATGACCTGTGGAAACGTCTGCTTCTCGAAGCAGTTGGTAAAGTTCACCGCTCGCATAAACGGCGTCTCTCCTCGTACGTTTTGTGTGTCCAAGCTCGCTCCAAACTTCTTCAACTGCCTGATGACATCGACGTCGCCCATGGCAGAGGCCCAGTGAAGACATGTGTGACGCTCGTTATCGATGGGCCAGTCGGGCTTGAAGTTGGGAGGAGGGTCGGGTCGCACGGCAGGTTGCTCGTTCCTAGAGAGCAGAAAGTAGTCCAGTAGTTCGTCACCGTAGACCGCATGTTGCTGCTCTGTAACGTCCTCTATCAACTCGTCTCGCTTCCGTTTCCTGTGCCCGGTCGAGAAGTGTGAATGGTCGTATCGGTCGTCCTCGGCCATGTAGGAGGCCGAGGCAACGGTTAGATTATCGGGTGTGTCGTCTTCGTGCATGTGGGTATCGCCATCGTTGTAGTCTTGTGCTGCTGGTACGGGAACACCTTTGCGACCTGCTGGTAAGAAGCTGCCAGGCTGAGGGGGGTTGTTGTTGGCGTTCTTTGCCGACTTACTGCCCCATGTGGGAACAGCAGGTTTGGCCTTGGGGGCCTTTGGCTTGCTGGCGTGTCGAGGTGCGGGAGGAGGGCTTTCGTTGCCCGGTGTGAACTCGAATATGGGTTTTATTCGTTCGTAGATGTTGTTGCGGCGAGCGAGGGCCTCTGCTTGTTCGAGGGGGATCCAGGTGCCTGGCGAGAGCATGGTTAGTGACCTAATTTTGATTTTGAAGGGTTGACATGTATGTTCGCACCCTGGTATCTTCCGTATCCTCCTTGAATCTTCTCATGGGTGTCCTTTTGTACCTCGCGCTCCAGGATTCTCGTTCGGGCGGGTTTGTCGAAGCCAGCGGCCTTGAGGATATGTGTGGCGTTGACCCAGTCATCATGGCGACGGCGCATTACATGCTCCTTGAGATCGACGCCAAACTGAAACTCCCATACTGGAATCTGCAACAGCCATCAGCGTGCGGTTAGCAACATGGCGGGCCAAACGAGCAACGAGGAGGAGGGGGAAGTTGGAGAGAGACGTACACCGCTATAGGTTGCGCTGTAGATTCCCGGCTCGGGGTTTCCCCCGACATTTGCCTTGACCATATCTGGTGCTAAGGGATCCGATTGATGCCAATGGGTGGCTGCAGGGCAGGTATCGGCAGCGGTAGGGAGAGGAAGGTGAGCAAAAGGTGAGTGGGCTGATGGACGACCGGGAGGGGGGTTGCCAATTGAATATGACCACCGGGACCGGAGTAGGTATCAATTAGGGAATGCCGTATTTGATGATAGCTTCATTCAGGGTATCAGTATTCTGCCCTGTTTTCGTGGTTGGCTGGAGGGTTGGTGGTGGTAATCGAGGCACGAAAAGGACGCGGTGATTGAGCTAGACTGGGGCGGGCGACGCGGTTGACGCGAATCCAGTTAAAGTGCCTTTTTGCCAAGCCAGCACTCCCGGCTCACGTGATTGTGGCCTGAATCCCACAGGCAAAGCGTCTTCCAGCAAACGAATGCGCTAGCAGCCACTAACAGATTCATTCTGATATTCTATCACAATCTGATAGCGCAACCTTCTGTCTTGCATCAAGCTACCAACAACTGGTCAGGACCGTTCTTTCATGCCCAAACAAGCACCCAAACGCCAACTCCTTGACTAAAACGCTTATCTTGCAAGTGTTTTCACGATTTCCTGGCATGATGTGATGGGCTCCAAATTTTGATCTCAGTTTACGGCGTGGGATCGGATCATCCTTTGCACAGCTTGTAGCAGCCGCCACACCATCATCCACTCATTGCTTGGCCACCCCGAGCACAAACATGTGCAGCATCACAGTCTTTGCTCATTATCGGCAATGCTTTATCACTTTTCTTTTGCTTTCTTTTTTTCCCCGGACTCTCAGCCTGGATACTCCTGCTTCCCTTCTGACAGCATTGCCTCAAATGGCTCCTGCTTCGAGTTCCCGTGATGTCGTGAAAAGATAAAGTTTGGTTCAAACTTTGGCTGACGCACTTTACAGAGCTCGGTGTCCAAGTTTGTGGATGCGCCTTGACCTCCTCATACTTCCTGTAGTCGGTGTCGGAGTCCTCATGCCATATTCGGCTCCGACATGGGGATGTAGCCATGCATTTCGAACACTAGCCTGCCTGGGGAAACCATCAGTAACTTCCCCAGTATTGGTGAGGCGGTGTCCTCGCCGAGCAGAATGAGACGCAAGACGGGTTGCTTTCTTGGATGCTGCCAGTAGAGTCTTGCAGCTTTCTGTTTTTTGTTCCTTGGACTCGGTGGCGGGCAGCTTAATATCCTGGCACGCACGCCCCCTTCCACGATATTCGGAGGTCCGATATTACGTGCATGCCGCCGCTTGAAGGCATTTGGACAGCGTGTTCTCGAGAGAGCCTTGGTTACGGGACCATCGGCCGACCGCAAGTCTGGCCATCACGCATTTTTTTTTTTTTGTATCACGAAAACGCAAGGCAGTGTCGTCGGTGCGGACATGCCTTCGCAGGAGGCTTCGCTTTGCCACGGGGAGGAATCAAGGCCAGGAGATGCTAGATATGGACAACATGGCAGAGCAGATCATCTTGCGTCAAAGAGGACGAAGGAGTATTTATTTCCCACAGACGCGACTACCTGCTTCCACCCCTACCGCTCTCGACCTAACTATTCCTCATCATTTTCCGCAACACACTCTTCCCCCCTCAATATGTTCGTCATCTTTGCCTTTGTGTACGGTTTAGCCCCGATCCTTTGGCTCTTTTTTGTGCTGATCATCACCTACGTTTTGGCTGGCTTCCACTTGACAGACACGAGGAATCAGTATTGGGCCTTATAGGGTACGCTGTGTTGTCTCTTCCTGGTCAAGAACAGCGACAGAAGGAGAGCCTGACGGTCGGACTGCCTTCAACAAAACACTTGGCCACCACCGGGAAAAACAGGGCAGGCTGGGCGATGCAAGATATGGACAAGACATGACAGAGCAGCATACCTATGAACATGATGCATCCGAGGAGAGGGTACATTGTCAGAACCGAAAAAGCTGGCCTCTATTTCTTCCCACCCGTCCACATCTTCTCCTCTCACCATTTCTCCACCCTTTTGCCCTCCTCTAACAGTCTCTTAACAAATGCAACCTTTGTATTGGTGAACATGGAAGATCCATCGACCGTTTTGATTGCTGGACTCACCCTACTCCCTTACTTGGTGCTGATTCTCGCCGTACTCACCTTCCTATATCGTGTCTCGTTACCTCCGCTGGAAACAAGACAAGCAAGACGATGACCTCGACAAGATTGAAAAGTATAATGGTTACCGAAAAAAGGTACGTTCTCTATGTTCTCCCCTTCCTCTTTTTCCTCATTTTCTCTGGTCAATTACTCTAGGGGTCGGGTAGACAGAAAGAAAAAGTGCCCCTCGACAGTTACTAAAGACGTTATAATGATGTAGTCCACACCCCGCCAAGAGACGTCGTCTGGATTAAGATGACGACGTCCACGGCAATACCGCTGCCGCTGCCGCCGACGTTGACGACGAAACGCCCAACGATGGCGAAGCGGTGAAATCCATCACAGTCGGGATGCCTGCCGCCCCCCATGGCCACACATTTAGTTCCACAACCGATACCGATACCGATACCGATATCGATCACGACAAAAAGCCAATTGCACCCCTCCCCACCATCACAAAGAGGGTCCGATTCCTATTCCACACAACCAACGACGGACCTACGCCCACACCGACAAACACGCCTGGCAAAAAGACCATACGCTTCCTCTTTGACAAGGGGGCGAGGGACCTCGACCTAGGTCTTCATAACGGAGTTGGTGGACGGCATACAGCCAGATCGGTGGAAAAGCATGAAGGATAGGATCAAAGCATGTTTTTTCTTGTTGCTTGTTGGACAGAAAAGCTGCCTCCTGCCAGCTTGTTCTTTGGGCATCCTCAATGCCCGTTTTTTATCCTCCTTTTGTAGCAAACATCACACATGGTATGAGATAGATAACAACGGATGGCAGCCTATCACACCTGTAACAACATGAAAGGGGATTTCTTTCTTTCGCCCGATTGTTCAGTACGGTTAGAGTTCGTTCGTCCCCCTTTCATCATTTTCATCCAAAAGGCCAGAGATAAATGCGGAGATGACACCCATGCAACGTGCTCGTTGCCCGCCCGGTCGTGAACCGCCGCCTCCTAGGATAATTGTTAGTGCTCAATCACTATAACGTCCCATTCGCTGCTTTTAAATCCGCTGGGACCACACCTTCGTAACAGTGGACGGGTGGATCGTTTCAGCCCTGTTGCAAACATGCCTCCCCACAAGCCTCCAAATCTCACACCTGTGATTGGTCAGTTGGCTAAATCCCCCACGTTTTAGGAAGGGGCACATGTGGACACACGGAGCACGTCGCCCCCCGTTTCCCCGGTTTCCCGCATTTTTGTCTTCCCTTTCACGATTCCACGATCTCACCGAACCCTGATCTTATTCCTGTACAACCACCATCGGTCATTTTGGACACTCAGCTGAGCATAGTGTCTCGCTTGTTTCTGGATATCTGTATTGTTAAATTCGAAAGTGGACGGGCGATCTGTCCTTTCCGTTACAGCGCCCTCGCTCGTTGTTTTCGCCGTTTCCGTCCTTTGCTCGTCGGCGCTCTCTGCCCACCATCGCCGCCGTTACGAACATCACCAACCAAGTCTACACGGAACCGGTACCCGATCCCGATCTCGAATTGGATCGCAGTCTCCAATGCGCCATCGCTCGACAATAAACACCCTACTGTCTCTCCGCGCTCACCACTTCTTACAACTCGACGACCATGCCGCCCGACACGCACTCCTCTCTCCCCCTTCTGGACCCCTCCGCCTCCGCCTCCGCCTCCGATGACCGCGGCCGCCGACGCCCCGCCTCCCCTGGCCACCCCTTCCTCCACGACCCCTCTTCCTCATACGACACCGACCCTGAATTCGACCTCTCAGCAGCCGACCGCCCGCCCTTACCACGCCGAACAACACCCACCTCCCTCCGCTCCCTCACCCCCGTCCCCATCTCTTCCCAAGCCCTAGCTCTCGACTCCCGCCTCCGCTACCGCCTCGCAGCCTTCTTCCTGGTGGTATCTCTGGTAGCATTCACCGTGCAAACGGAACTCGCTTCCATCGTCCAACACGATCTAGGCTGGGATAAGGCTTACTGCATGTTATACCTGACCCACGGCAGCTGGGTCTTCTTATTCCCCTTGCAGCTTGGTGTGCTGAGGTTGATGAAGCGGGATATTGCCTGGCGACAATTTTGGCGCGGGGTGCTTTGGGATGTGCGGGTTGTGGGGGGGATGGTTCAGTATCAGAAGCTGGACGTGCAAACTTCAAGAGGAGGACGGGGACAAAGTGGAAGGGCAGGGGGGAGTCCATGGCGATATCTAGCCTGGACAACAGCGGGAATCACCTGCGCCTTGACCGTCGCCGGGCTAAGTTGGTATCTGGCAGTCAGCATGACCACCCCGTCCGATCTCACTGCCATCTACAACTGCAGCGCCTTCTTCGCATACGCATTTAGTATTCCTTTGCTAAAAGAGAAGCCGCGGATGGGCAAGATCTTGGCTGTAGCCATCGCCATCATCGGCGTTTTGGTGGTTGCATACGGCGACGGCACCGACACTGACACCGACACCGACTCCGACACCGACTCTGGCCCAGGAGGAGAAATCCCCAGCGGCACGCGGTTCCTAGGCAACCTAATCATAGGCGTCGGCTCCGTCCTCTACGGGCTCTACGAAGTCCTCTACAAGCGCTTCGCCTGTCCACCCTCCGGCACGTCCGCTTTTAGGAGCGTAACGTTCGCCAACACCTTCGGTAGCATGATCGGGCTCTTCACCATTTTCGTTCTATGGATCCCTATCCCAATCTTGCACTGGACGGGCATCGAGCCCTTTGAGGTTCCCACGGGCAGAGCGGCGTGGTTATTGTTCTGGAGCATTGTCATGAACATGAGTTTTGCGGGGTCGTTCCTGGTGTTGATTTCCTTGACGAGTCCGGTATTTAGCTCCGTGGCGAGCTTGTTGACGATTTTCATTGTTGCGGTATCGGATTGGTTTGTCACGGGCAAGCCGCTGAGCGGGGCAAGCATGCTGGGTGGGGTGTTTATTATGGTGGCGTTTGGGGTGTTGAGTTGGAGTACTTGGAAGGAAATTGAGGAGGAGGAGGAGGGTAAAAGGAGGAGGGCGGTTGCTGCTGATAGGAGTGAGGAAGACGCGGAGAGTGGCAGTGACAAGGACGAGGATTAGACGGCGTTTTGAAGCTTGTTCGTTGGCATCTTTCTTTGGTGTTTCTTGTTTCCCTATGGGAGGGGTTGCTGTTCTTTTGGATATCACAGAACACAGGGCAACACGATAGAGATGGTCTTGGGTACAGATTCATGTGGCATTTTGGGTTTTGAATAATTAACGGCGTTCCCATTTAGAATGAGATCATGTAGAGGGTTATCATCTGTCGCATTTTGTCAAAATAAAAAGTTGGCCATGCAGACCAGTTCGGAGCTCCAAATTGTACTGGTTTAGCGTGGGGGTGGGTGCCAATCTGTCACAACTTGGGGACTGGCTGCATTTCATTTGACAGCATTGGTCATATCTTCTGTTTGTTGATCACTATTCCTTTTCCTTTTTTATTTATCCCGGTGCACCGCTGTCAACAAGTGGATAGCAACGCCTGTGCCAGTGCCACAGATGATTCCCACGGAAGTTACGGGACACTCCGCTCCGTCTGTGGGGCACTCTTGGTTGCGACTTCCTTCCGAATTTGACCACATCCGAATAGGTGATCTCGGCCTTGGCACGGAGATCGGCTCGGCGTTGCCTCACTATTCCGGCCCGCCAGCCGGTGGCTGAGATAACTTTCGCAGTTCGGTCCAGACACCGCCATCTCTTACTTTTCCGCCTCGCTTTCTAAGGCAACATTACCAAGAGACCGATGTGTTGATCGTAAGGTGTGTTCGTTTAACGGCTGCTGCTTGTGCTGAAAATGCCACTGACCGGGCGACTAAACCTAACAAGCAACAATGTTGGGTGTCGGACCACGTGGGACGGTGGAAGGACACCCTCTTGGACGTACCCATAAAGCCTGGGTTTGTTGTTTAAGCACTTTAAGGAAATCTGTTCTCAACGCCCGTGGCTTATACATATGAGCTCGAAACTATTGGTTGGTTGGTTGGTTGGTTGGTTGGTTGGACACGTTGGCTTCTCGACAATTTCCTGACATGCGGCGGGCATATAAGAAATACCTCTTATTGCATCTACTACCATGGGTTCAAAATACAGACGGATTTGTTGATGACTGACTGCATACGTTCATATCATTTGCAGTGCATATCGATCCAGACAAGTTTTTTGTCTACCACCCTCCAACACATACTAAAAGAAGACTTCCCCCTCTCTTCCTTTTCTTCTTCTCTTCTTCTTATTCCAACCGGTGTCAACCAGCCTCATCCACTCCCGTGTCGTTGTGCACCCAGTATCTCAAATACTGAACACAAAGTCCATAGCCGTGGTCACGATATTCAGCCCTAGCCACAAGACTTCCTGTCCGTACTACGACCACGCAACACACAAATTCAGAATAGTCACCATGACATCACCGTATCCTCCTGGGCATGCGCTTATTCAGCGACTTCCCAATGAGCTCAAGGACCGCATCTGTAACTTTGTGGGGTTTGAGGCTCATCACGATCGGGATCAGGTTCAATCCCGTCCGGACCTGGCCCGCTCCCAGGACGACGCCTAAGTACCTGGACCAAACATTCTCTGATGCCAAACACAAAGCGTACCAACACGGAGGCTTGCAATGATCTCCGAGCACTATCCGTGGTCTCCAAGGATTTCAGGACCTCGGCACAACGTGCCCTGTTCAGAGTTGTGGCCCTTCCAAACCTCGTCTCCTTCTTCTGGCTCCTCCGCACTCTTCGCTTGAAACCAGAGGTGGAATCATATCAATAGTCTTGCCCCAGTTTCGTCACGCGAAATCAATGATGCCTTCCTCCAGGAGCTCCTCCAGCAACCCTGCTGGAGAGATTACCTCCACTTGTTCACTCCCGTTTTCATCAAGGACGAGAAAACGGCAATCACCGACTATCCAGATATCGATGTGCTTGCCCCCGATACCGTTCGAGACCGCTTGATGGTATCTTGGAATCTTCGCTGGACGGCCTTCATTAAGAAAAACATAAACAGTCAGACAATCTGAGGAGTCTTCCAGCCATCCCAGCCTCTCAGCCAGCCCTACTCGTGTGGTGGGATCGACTCGGCAGCTATACCTCTTGGGCAAGCGAAGAATGGGGATCATGGCCCAGAGGGCTTAGCAGCGCAAGTGGAAGTTTGACGTGCCTATGATCATACGGGCACACAAATTCTTCCCTTGGCTTCTGGCTGAAGTCCTCAAAGCCATTATCCAACTACGCCCTCAGCTCCGAGCCTTCCATTTCCTCTTCAGGCTTCAGCAGCAGTCACGCCAGCCCGACCCTTCGCATACCGCCACCGCTTCTTGCCAATCAGCCTGCCCATCTCTCTTGGACAAGGCTTCTTCAAATGCAACCCCGCTCTGGCCACGCTTACAGTTGATTCCCGCACGCTGACCAAGTCTGGACCAGACGGAGATGGCGGAACTCCGCTGCACCTTCATGTAATCCCTGAACCGGGACCGGGGCCGCTGCTCTCCACGCCGCTTTTGCTTCCACCCAAGTACCGCCTGCCCTCCAGCATCACCCACCTCTCTTTGATCGGCCACCCTGGTATCGAAATCCTGCACGACCAAGCGATAAGCTTATACGTACTAGGCCAATGGCTGAACGAAGTCTGCAACCTAGAAAGCCTACAAGCTCGGCCATACCGCCAGCGACTACCAAGCGCAGCGCTGGAACTGGAACACCATTCTCCTGAAGTACCGACACTTCGCTGAAAGAACTCGATTTCGACGGCCGCGGGTCGCTATTCGGCACGAAATTCACTCCGAGCAAGGGAGCTGCTGGGCTCTTGCGGGGAACTTGGTCTCCTCAAGTTCGGCTGGTGATACCCGGGAAGTTGAATACCAGGCACCCAGACAGTGAGCTACCAGACACGGTCCTGGAAGTGAGGAGCGTGATCGTGAGAGGATACCTCTAGGAAGAAGGTGCGGTGCAAGAAGCTGGCGTGTGTGAAAACCAAGAACCCGACACTTGAAATCCCTTTTACAGAGTATTGTAACCGCATTTCCTGCGTACATGGTTACACCGTTACGGTGACGCGTACTGGACGGTCTATGTTCAGTTTGTTTTCACGACTACTTGCACCTTCGTGCCTGCCGTCATAGTATGCCTCTAGGGTTCCTTCTTTGAGCGGCCCCTGCCCGTCGCAAGCTAGAACTCGTTTATTTCGCCTTACTATCTTCTTCTGTAAGAGGAACTCTTCGTCCCTGTGGCAACCACTGTCCATTTTGGCCTTTCCATATCCACTTTTTTTCATAAACAAGCCGAGACTGAGCAAAGATCGCTCGCCATCCTGACCTCAGGTTTTTATGGAAACTACCAACACCTTGCTTACAACACTCACAACTTCCCGCTACACGCAAGAGCACCACGACCAGGCGCTGTAAGCTCGAGCGCACCTTCCCTTTCCTTGTTTGGGTGGTACCTCTAGACGACCGGCTTGTCCTCAGTTCCTCAGTTGGAAATTAGAAGGTAAATTATCACTCACGCCCTCCCAGCTCTCAAAGAAATGACGAGACGCCTGTGTGACCGTCTACAATGTGTACCCATTGTAAGATGATGCATTCATAGGTCCTTCCATTGGCTAAAGGGCTGCGTATTTGCACGATACCTCTGCCTTGACTTAAAGTAAACATTCATCACGTCTCATGCCTACGGGAGGCGGAAGTAGACGTTAAAAATAACAACAACAAAGAAAGTAAACATTCATCGCCATGGCTTCTTCATGGCCCCGCTCCAAGGCGCCCATCCAGCGCCTTCCCTTTGAGCTGAAGGAACAGATTGCCCGGGACCTCTGTGACTTTGATCTCTACGACAAACGCAACTACACCCTGAATCCCCGTGCTGACACCTTCCTCGGCGGACATACCTACCAGTGAAACCCGTTTTCGGCACGGGGCAAGAAGCGACAACTGGGTTTTCAGCCCGTGTATGACAATCTGTGTGCCCTTTCGCTCGTTTCGCGGGACTTGCGCGCGCACTCTTTGCCGTCGTCATCGTTGGGGATCCGATCGAGTACTTCAAACTCCTCCGGACCTTGCTCAAGTCACAAGAGATCAGGGGCTACATACGATGTCTCTTTGCGATCTCGGTACGCAATCCCGACATGGAGAAAGACCGGCGTATGATGGAACGATTCCGTTGGAATTCCTTTGCCAGCATACTCGGCCCCATAGGTATCTTCAGTCATTCCTGTCATGGGCTTCAGAACGGCCGTTACTTCCACGAGCTCCAACATATGATACCGCCAACCAGCGATCCCGTTTCCACATGACAAAACCTGGATATCCCCATCCTCATCGCGGAGGTTCTGCACGCTATTCTTCAGTTCTGCCCATCACCGAGGGCCTTCCATCTGCATTGCAGCCATTGGTCGTCTCCAAAACATGCAGAACCATGGGCATTCTGGTGCCTCAAAGGAAACAGCCGGGCCTACATGAGGTTACTCCAAGACCGCCCTTTGCTCACCATATTTACAATCGACTACCGCACCGAGCTGGGATTTCACAGCCTCATCCCGCCCCAAAATAAGCTTGATAAATGCCCTTCCACCATTGAGCATCTCACACTCATCGGCTCTACCGCTTATTTGGCCGAGCCCATGTTAGACGCCTGTCGCCAAGTCAACATCGACGATCTGCTTCACTGGGTGAGCGTCATCACCACCGGGCTGAAGACGGTCCGATTCTGTAACGGGTTCGAAGTCATCACGACGGGCTCGGAAACCCACAACTTGAACGACCTTCTGCTCAAGTTCAGGGATACCCTGGAGCAGCTCGAGATGAATGGAACTGGCCAACACCTCCCCTGCTTTATTTCTGACATCCTTGGCCATTTTGCCCGCCGTCAACAGGCGCGGTTTGGTTCGGGCACCAGGGACGGTATCCTGTCGTGCTTGTCGGAGATGGCAAAGCTGAGGCATCTCGCCATCCCCATTCATTACCTCCGGGATCGCGCTGATGCTCAAGCCCGCGGTAAACTTGTGTGTACACCCAAGGAAGATCAGCAATTCCTTCGGTTTTTGCAAGAGGATATTGTAACGTTTCCAGAGTCATTGGAGAGGATAGATACCTTGTGGTTGAGTACGACGAACCCCATGACAGATTCAATCCTGTTGTCAGATATCGGAGGATTGACTTAAGGGGTCAAGATCATCACCACACACAAGCGACAAATGGCAGTTAGAACTGGGAAGATGAGGACGAGGCGGAGGAAGCAAGAAGGGCATCGAGCATGCATTGGCAGATAGTAGGAAACTCTTGGACCTGATGGCTGATGCATGCAGGTGGATTTTGTAACATTATTGTCGAACCAACTAGAGGTACATAACTACTTCTAGTGTACCTATAAGAGCTGACACGACGAACTATCGCTTTCTGTCACTGATGGGCGGAAGTGACCAAACCATCTCGCTCATCTACAAATTAAGGGCATAAGCCGCGTAACACCTTACCCGGCGGTTTCATAACGTAAGAACTCTCCATATGCAGACGCAGTCCTGGGTCCCGTCTACTCTGAGTCTGGCTCGGTCTTTACCCTCACTTCTTGTTGCACTTCGCCCACCTCCTTCACCACCTCTTCATCTTCATCATCTTCAACCCCCGCCCTTACCTTATCCATAACCCCATCCATATCCTCCTCTACAACCCGTCGAGCATGAGCGTATATCCTCCGCGCCTCTATGCTTACCACCTCTCTAATCTTGTCCAGGACGAGCGTCTTTGCCTTCGCCTTCAGCTCATCCTCTGTTATCATCTGCCTTTCTGTGTTTGGCTGTACATGTACTCCGGCTCCTTCTCCTTGTCCTGCATGTAGCAGCAGGGCTCTGATCTCTTGTTCCAGTATAATGCGCACGTCGTTCCTTATATCTTGAGGTTCTTGGAGAATTTTTTTACTACCTCTATATCTGCTTGCTTCTTCTTCTTCTTCTTCTTCTTCCTCCTCCTTGACCGGGACTGGGACTGGGATAGTTACCCCTTGTATGTGCCGTAAAGGGGTAGGTGGTGCTTGTGGTGCTGCATGTGGCTGTTGTTGGACTGGCTGTTGCTGTACTGGTATTGGTTCTAGTACCCATATCGGCGACCGTGTCCCCGGTTTGTGATGGATGAGGGTAAATCTCCTCTCTTGGGGGACTGGACTAAATTGCCCTCGAAGTGGCTGATGAGCTGGCTGTCGGACTGACTGCTCCGCCCCCCTCTGCGGTACCCAGGTGGTAATTTCTGCTACTCCAGCAGCTGGAATGGCTGTGTACAACTCTCTGTGGATGCAATCCGGGCAAGGAAAGGGGATCGGAGGCCGGGGACCGGTTCTGTGGTTGTATTGTCGAGGTACGAAAGACACATTGATCAGGCATTCTGGCTCGAATGGACAGACCTCGTTGTAAAGATGTTCCTGCGGGTAGTGGCGGAAGTGACCGCACAGGAAGGTAATGTCTCCATGGAGGTATATGATGCACATGATGGTGATGCTCGCGGCGTAAAGGCTGAGGGCCGCGCTGGGAGATGTGTTGGGTTTTTGTCCTTTAGACGAAGCGTGGGTGTTGTGGTATGAGCATACCTCTACACTACGGGTGGTATCACGGTTATATAATTGGAAACCAAAGCACACACGATGATCTGTAGTAGAAGGGAAAAGTCGTTACATCTTCGAGTACAATCCAGACACGAGAGGTTCATTGTTGTGATCTTCCGTCTAAGGACCCAAGCTCGGTGAATTGAAGCTAAAGACACTGGACTGGCAAATGTCTGCCGGGGCTATTGAGTTCTCCGATGTACTTTCACTGGAGTCTAGAACCGTCCAAATGCCAGGCGACCTGCAAGCTACAAGCCATGCATCGAATGCCTCCACGGACAGCACAGGTGACTTCAAGGATGAACACCAGAGATATTCCACGGAGAAGTTATAGAAACGGGGTCGGTTCGAACTTAAAAGATCAACACTCAACACATGCAGCGAGTCAAGATTGCTGGCATGAAAAACAAAAATGCTCAAAGCACAGCTCTGTCTCGCAACGGTCAAAGAAAACGCTGCGTCTTAAACACATGGTACGAAGACAAGCAAGAACCCATATCCCAGTCCCACGTTATTACCTTCATTCAGCTCGTCGATCCAGCCACCGTCGGGGATATGAGGCTTGCATACACGTGGTGGCCAAAACACATGGTTTCTTTGTTCTGTGTCTTACCTTCCCGATGAGCGGTCACTTTGGAACTATTCTGGAAGCTTGCTCAATCTTTGGGTTGAGACATCGCATGCTTGGCATTCAAAATCTTCCATTGAAGATAACGCAGATGTCCACTTCATAGGAGAATGGCTCAATTGCTTCGAAACGACATGCATTGTTTACCGGAGACCCCGAAGCACTTTGTTTGAACATGGACCTTTCTCCGGCTTGAGTCCCGGACTCCCGGTTCTGCGTGGTAAAACAGTGTCTTTATAAGAACTACGTCGTTGTTTCTCTCTCTCTCAACGCTTTCTTCCATCTGCGTTCCAGTTTCGTTCTCTTCCCTTCCATTCTTCGTTCGGCACCGGGTGCCTTCTTTCTCTTTTACGCAGTCATTTGTTCTTTCCAACTTTCCTTTCCACTCCTTCCCTTCTTCATCAACCCACATTTAACCCCCAACCGCTGGTCGGTTCTTTCCCATTCCCGGATTATCCCTTCATCTCCTTATTAGCCCAAAGAGCACTGTCATCGACCAAACTTGCACGCTAGAATCAACACCATGCAGACATCCAAGACCACCACTAGTATCTGCCGCAATGGAAAGCGCGGAGCTTACGAGAAGCCACCTGGTCCAAAGCCTGCTGGTCCTAGCAAGCCTTAGGGCATTATATCACGTAAGGCCCTGTGAAGATCTTCATTCTCGAGTAGTTCCGCTAACAATATGACATAGTCCTCCAACATTGCACCAACTTTCGTCTTCGAGTTACCTCTATAAGTGACACTCAGTTCCTCGGAGCCTCAACGTGGTTGCGGGCAACCACGTTCATCTAGCAACGAACCTTCTTCCAGATGTGCAGAACACCCGGGAAGCATCATTCATGGACGACAAAGCATATAAACCTGCAATTTAGACATTATAGAGGCCGGTGTGTACTGCATTGTTTTCCCTATCGAAATATGAAAAGCTCTTAGGACATTGAGCATCGTGTTATTGTTTTGTAATATGGAGGGCGAATCACGAGAACGTCCCGCTTGCGTCTAGACTGTTCTCGAGGAGAAAAATCATTGGAAACCATCGCGTCAGTTGGGTTTCGTACCTTATATGTACATCTAGTTGCCCCGCTGAAGCACATACACATCTGCTAAAAACACTCTAATCTGACCCAATTTCGATATCAACACCTGTGACAAGGGCAGTGTTCT